TTTATTTTATTTTATTTTATTTTATTTTATTTTATTTTATTTTATTTTATTTTATTTTATATGAACATTTTGCCCTTTTCCTTTCTGTGTTAGGTAGGAGAGGGCTGAGGATGCAGGCCCATCTGATCTGTCCCTTAGGGGTTGCCTTTTCATAGCAGTTATTAGCCAGTGTGTGGTGGGTGGGGTTAACATAGGTAAGAAAGGAGATCCTGGAATCTTTGATCATCTCTGGGGCTCTGCAGCCAGCCCATCAGAACAGTGGTGGCCAATAGCAGGCCAGATGCAAGCCACAGTTGAGTTGGTAAGAGCCCGAGAGGGAAGTAACTGTAGGGAGATTACTGGAATGAGTGACTTCAGCATATTGGCAGGACAGGACAGGAGTGAAGCCAGGGCCATGGGACCCCAGGTCACTAAGAGACCAAAGGATGTGTAAGGGGGTGGCAGAAAGAAGAGCAGTGTTTAAACACTGGCTTTCTGTGGCTGACAGTTTCATCTGATACAGACCAGTGGACCTGAGAACCAGGAACAGGCATCTCATGGTGTCTCGATGTTCACCCTGGAAACATCAGAGGCCTGGGACAGCACATTGCTGTCTCGTGTATAGGAAGCAGTGTTCACCTCTCAGAGTTTCAGAGTACAAGATGGTGCAGGGATCTAAAGTAGGATCCCTTAAAGATACCTACAGTGTTTAGTCTAGAGTTGTCCGTGTCCAGGAACTTAACATCAAGATGTACGTGCTGGTGGGCTAAGACATGTACCGAGGATCTTCATTGGTAATCTTCGAATGATCTAAGTGTTCATGAACATAGAGATGCTTTAAAAAATGGTTCTGCATCTGTGCGGGCTTAAGAATGGATGGAGAGGTGGCTTGTGGGATATTCAGTCCCTTCAGCTCCTCTTCTGTCCTCCTAGCCAGACAGAAGCCATAGACACATAAAGATGAGCAGACATGGCCACAGTGGCTAGCTCTGTGGCTCACTGGTGGCGTCACTGTGTTCTGATGCACAGCACACAATGATGAGAGCCGAACTGCTGGTTAAACTCTGTCTGCTGTGTGGGTCTAGCAGATGAACAGTGGATAGGTGCCCTCATAGGAGAGCCCTGACTCAGGGATGCATGAGTGGTGGTGCTACTGGGCTTTTAGCAGTTGGCACATATTGCTGCTTTGGGCTGCCATTCTGGGGAAACCTTCAAGAGCTCCCTCTGACTCTGTTCCATCTCCACTGCAGTCTAGAGTCCTGTACCCTACACTCCGGAAAGAGTGAGTATCTCAGTTAGGGTTTCCATCTTGTGAAGAGACACCATGACCAAGGCAACTCTTATAAAGGACAACATTTATTTAATTGGAGCTGGCTTACAGGTTCAGAGGTTCAGTTCATTATCGTCAAGGTAGAAGAATGGCAGCTTCCAGGCAGGCATGGTGCTGGAGAAGTGCTGAGATTTCTACATCTTCATCCAAAGGAAACCAGGAGCAGACTGTCTCCCATGTGACTAGGAGGAGAGCCTCAAAGCCCACCCCCACAGTGACACACTTCCTCCAGCAAGGCCACACCTATTCCAACAAGGCCACACCTTCTCTCTGGGCCTAGCATATTCAAAACACCACAGTGAGCGTCTCAGGACAGGAGCCACATCTTGAATGTCTTGTTTCTGACACCCACCCTTGGTGTCAAGGCTCCAGAGGCTGTGGTACCCTCTGCACATTGGTGACTTAGGAAGGTAGCCAGACCTAGAGCTGGGAGAAATGTGAGCTAGGGAACTAAGGGTGTGGTGAGGAAGCAGCGCCAAGGCCCAAGGCATTAGAGTCATCTGCCCGTCAGGATCTCCAGGAAGACCAAGGGAAGCAGGTGAACGAATGATTGGCTGTGTGCAGAGCTAGGCTCTGTCCACCAGGTGAGAGCCGTCCTTACTACAGACCTTAGAAAAACTCTTCAAGCTCTCTAAGAATTCCTCTTCTCACTGGACAACATTCACTGCTTTGACTCACTCTTGAGAGTGGGAATGGTAGTCACCTTAGTGTGTTCCTGGCACTGGTCACAATATCTGTCTCACCTGTCACTTTTCAAAGATAAAGAATCTGAGCTCAGAGGAATTATGTGACTAGCTCAAGGCCCTTATAGTTGGTAAATGTCCGAAGATGGGACTCAAACCCAGATCCATCCGGTAAAGTCCTAGAGATCCTCCTCCTGTAAAGAGGGGCTTGAACCCTGGAGTTACTTATCCCTAGTGGATTGAGGACCTGGCCCTGCCTCCTTCTTCCCATCCCCTATCTCTGTCTTTTAGGACATCATCCCTTTTGGCAACAACCCCATCTTCCGCTACCTCTTTGGCTGGATGGTGCCTCCCAAGATCTCCCTCCTGAAGCTGACACAGGGCGAGACTCTCCGAAAGCTGTATGAACAGCACCATGTGGTGCAGGACATGCTGGTGCCCATGAAATGCCTGTCTCAGGCCCTGCATACCTTCCAAAACGACATCCATGTAAGCTTGAGTGACCAAGCGGGCATGGTCCCATGGAACCCAGGCCTTCTCCCTAGAGCTGTGTCACCCACCCATCTTTGTGTTTCTGCCCTCTGGGCCTCGATTTCACCAACTGTACAATTAGGGTCTTGCCCATTCAGAGACTGTAGTGCCCTGATAAGCTGCTTTAGAGTGGCCCCATAATATGGGAGTCTCTGGCAGGGCTGGAGGGGGAGCTGAAGCTGGGAGCATCTGGGAGCCACTAGTGGGTTGGGAAGTCAAAGTTCCCCTTTGTGGGATGTGGGTGAGCTAGCCCTGTGTCTGCTACCCGCTGGGAAAAGACAGACCAACCTGTTTCTCTGACCTCTCAGGTCTACCCCATCTGGCTGTGCCCGTTCATCCTGCCCAGCCAGCCAGGACTTGTGCATCCCAAGGGAGATGAGGCCGAGCTCTATGTGGACATCGGGGCGTACGGGGAGCCGCGCGTGAAGCACTTCGAGGCCAGGTCCTGCATGAGGCAGCTGGAGAAGTTTGTGCGGAGTGTGCACGGGTGAGTGGCTTAGGGTTTGGGGATATGGGGGCCTCTCACCCACCTTGTCCATCGTCACAGCCGCACTCCTTCCCTCCCCCTCCCACACAGGTTCCAGATGTTATACGCGGATTGCTATATGAACCGAGAGGAATTCTGGGAGATGTTCGATGGCTCCTTGTACCACAAGCTACGCAAGCAGCTTGGCTGCCAGGATGCCTTCCCTGAGGTGTATGACAAGATCTGCAAGGCTGCGAGGCACTGAGCAGGGCACCTGGGGAGCCAGATGCATGGGAATGGACTTGCTCTCCCTCGCTCCAGCTTCTCTGCTTTCCCAGATTTCAGAAAGAAACCCCTCCCGAAATCCCCGAGGCGGGCAGCCCGATGGCCTCCAAGGCAGCTCGGTCAAATGGAAGCACATGGGATTTGGAGTCAGACAGACCTACGTCCCAGTCCCAGATCATCCACTCATTAGCTGTATGACTGACTCTGGGCTAGTCACCTGGCCCCTGTGTGCCCCGTGTTTATCCGTGAAAGGAGGTAAAGATACCTATGTGCTGGATGTCATCCACACAAAGGGCCCGCTGTGTGGGAAGGCCTTCATAAGTGATAGCCAGCACCTCTGCTTCCATGCATCCTCACACCTGGCTCATGCTTTGGACTCAACAGCTGAGACCAGTCTCCCCACAGGTCACCTGTGCACGGGTTTTGCTGGTACCGTAAAGGGGATGCCTTGGAATTCCACCTGCATAGCCTGCATCAGCCCCAAGAGGGTAAAAGAGGGTCAACTTTCCCCTGGGCCTCAGGAGCAGGGGGACATCTGATTGGCAGGCAGGCCCAGAATGTACTGTGCCAAAGCCAGGTCTATTCCAAAGTACTCTCTGCCATCTTCGGATCATCCTGCCCCTACTTCCTGTGTGCTCAGGCTACCCCAGCCATCGCAGAGCCCACTCAGGACTGCTCCTGGAAGACATTTCAAGATGAGAAGCCTAGCCTTCCCGGGCTTTTCTTTCTTGACTCCCACCATCCAGGCCTCCTCTAGAGTCCACTGAGTCACAGTGGGGTCACATGCTCATGACTGTGTCACAGGGGCGGTCCCCACACCAAGTGAGAAATGGGCATCCACCCAGTCGCTACTGTGAGGACCCTCCCTGGGGTTGGAAAGAAAGCATCCAGGGTCACTCGTCCCCTCCCCCTCCCCTGTTTTGTTCCCCTCCCCTGGCTCTAGTTAATTTCAGTGCCTTACAAATCCTAAGCTCAGAGAAAGTTAGCTCCATTTCCGTTCCCGAGGGAGGGGCCTCCACGGTCCTTCTGCCTTGTTAATGAACCGTGGTTGGTTGTACAACCCCCACCTTCAGAACTGCCTGGCCCAGCTGAAAACCCAGAGTCTGAGGGGGACTCAGGTTCTGGAAGGAAAGCCAGAACTCAAAAGCTGAGCTGGCCGCTGTCTCCCCGGCCCCGACACCCCTGCCCCCCCCCCCCCAAATAAGCTGCAGTTTTCTTGCCCGTCACATCGGAACATAAGAGCTCCTGAAGCCTTCCTATCTTAAGACAATACTACGTTGGGAAAGCCTCGTGTTAGAAGTTGGGGGAGCATAAATGGTCAGGCACCGTCCATCAATAGTCTTTCCCTCCACCACCAGGCCAGCTCCTGTGTCACTTTCATCCATCTGACCGAGGCCAGAACCCTTAGGGTTATATTTTAACTAAAGGATGCTCAATGATGCCCCTGAGGGCTTAGGATACTGCACAGTGTTACTGTATCCTGTGAAGGCTGGTGCACTCAGGGCAGTGGGAAGGCAGAATCACCTCATCCATTTGGCCTGTGAAGGAAGTAACCTCATTTTGCTGTCTGAGCAGCATGCATTCCTGGCATGGGCTCTCCTAGTGGTCCATGTGCATCCTTGCGCTCGCTCGAAGACTTATGACCCTGCCTGCTGCAGATGAATGGTCAATTCGAGCTAGGTTAGTTAGTGTGGTGTATAAGGCGCCGTCATTCTTCCAGTCAGGCCTCCATCCCAAAGCAACTAGGGCTGTGGCAGTGATGCCAGCCACCTGTGTCACCCAAAATAAACAAAATCCAGCCCTCCACAGACACTCCCCAGGACCACCTGGGAAGTGGAGGGATTTTGAGTCACATTAGCCTCAGGTTAGTGTTTGGCTCCAGTAATATCTTGCCTGAAAAGTGGTTGTCTTCCAAGCATGGTGTACGGGGTCCCAGCTTTGTCTTCTAGCCTGTCCTGTCTTTGTCCAACCGTGCAGTGGCTTGGTGAGTCACTTTGCTGCTATGGGACAGTGCGTGTGGGAAGTCAATGCAAACCTCTCCCCTCCATGGCTCTGGTTTCTTGGCTGCATGGTTCTCTGTAAATTCAGTTGTAGCCACTGTCTGGCTAGAAAGCTGAATTGGCTGTGACTGAAAGGGAAGAGGGGGATGGGCGTGGCAGTGTGTGCTGTGTGGTTTTTTTGTTTTGTTTTGTTTTGTTTTTTTAATTTGGTCATGGGGACCAAGGAGAAGGCTCTTGCAGCCTCGGGCACTGTGCCTACTCTCCAGAACACATCCCTGTGGCTCTGGGGCCACCACTTCTGTAAAATAAAGTACGGCCTGGACGCTAGTCTTTGTCATTTTTTTTGTTTTGTTTTGTTTTGTTTTTTAATTCAGAGGATCAGTGTGCAGTCAGATAAGGAGACAGCAGCAGCCAGTGCCACTCAGCTCCGGTGTCCCGTCTGAACACAAGCACCCACAGACATGGGCTACAACCATGGGGGAGGCGAGTAACAAACGGATTCCTGTCATTCCAGTGAAGAAATGATGGTGGCTCAGGAGGGATGGGCTGGTGTCCTGGCTTTGTCACTTGGTTGTGACCGACTAATTTTGATAAGCTCATTGCTCCTGTGTAGACTCCCTCCTCATCTAAAAGCTGAAGCAAAAACTACCCCCAGCAGAACACTGCCAGCCTTCAGTCAGCCAGATGTGTCCTCAGGAGTAAGGGGGTTATTTGGTGGTGAATGTGAACAGAAATACATCAACTATGGCTCTTCTCCCCAACTGTGGGAAGCTATGGAGCTGGATACAACAGCCAGGAGGGCGGGGTCAGGAAAGCCTCAGTTGAAGAGCTGAGTCTCTGATCACTCGAGAACTGCTCATCCACCCTGGGTTATTACTAAAGGAAGTGGTAAACTTCTCTTAGGATTGAGCCACTATGAATTTGTATTTTTTAATAGTTTGGCTCACCCCAGGTGCCTCCGGGGCTGTGAGGCTTAAATGCCCAAAGACAGGAGAATCAGGTTTTAAGTCAATAAATTTTGTACAGATGTATACATGATGGGCATTTTACTAGAACCTGTGGTGGGTGAATTTCATTTTGAAGCTGACTTCAAGGGACCTTTTAGGAAGTCCCTTCTCTGATTTTATAGGTTGTTTTAAATCTGTAATATTCCCTCTGCTGGCCAGCATGCTTTCTGTAACAAAGTACCTGAGATGATCAAGAGGAGAACTTTATTTCAGCTCTACGTTCTAGAGGTTCCAATCCACGACCAGTGGGGCCTGTGGTGAAACAGTGTATAGTGCTGGGTGGGTGTGGCAGGAAATGGTCACAAACCAGGGAGAAAAGAATAGAAAACGGAGTTGGCGGTCCTTCAGTACCCTTTACAGGGATGTCTCCCGTGATCCAAAGACCTCCTACTAAGCCCTTCCCAATAGAACCAGCCCTTGACGAAACTGTCAACTACCATTAAAGCCCAAACTACCATTAAAATAGCTTTTACACTTCAGTCTTAGACATAACCTTACATTTGGATGAGCCTTCACCGCATGGTGTCTTCAATTCTCAGTCTTGTAACAAAGAAAATGAGGTGGGCATCTTGGTGAGACACCATAACCAACAGCACCTCGGGGGAGGAAGGGTTATTTCACTCACATTTCCGCGCAACACTTCATCATCAAAAGCAGTCAGAGCAGGAACAGGTGGAGGCAGGAGCTGATGCAGAGGCTTTGGAGAAGTGCTGCTTACTAACTTGCTCATCATGGCTTGCTAAACCTGTTGCAGAACCCAGGACCACCAGCCCAGAGGTGGCACCACCTACAATGGGCTGGTTCCTCCCCCATTAATCATTGAGAAAATGCTTTACAGCTGGATCTTATGGAGGCCTTTTCTTAACCCAGGTGCCTTCCTTTCAGATAACTCCAGCTTATTTCAAGCTGACATAAAAATAGCCAGCATGTGGGGTCATCTTCCCCATTACACAGATGAGGAAATTGAGGCTCAGTAAAAGGGCAAATGAATTGCATGGAGGCTGGCAAGGGTACAAGCTGTCTAGTCACACCCAAATGCCTCAGGAGCAAAGAAAGGCATTGGCAAGAGGGGTAGAGTCACTGTGCGGAACTTGGCTCAGAAGGTGGTCAGCAAGTCATACTGTCCATGAGGAGAACTCCTGTCCTCTGTACAACTGTCTAAGTCTCAATGATTATTTTTTTAAGACCAATATAAGAAAAACCACCCAAACAAGGGAGTATTTTCGAGAGTGTGCTTCTCAGTACACGCATATCTGGACATCAGGTTGCCTCCCGTGTGGGCAGCGATCACCACAGGCCTCTGGCTCTTTTTTGAATAAGATAGTGAGGCTCATTAAACTAACTTAGGACAGTGTTTCAATGCTGAAAGTGTGGGAAGCTTAGGACTCAAACAGCTGGATCCTGCTCTGCCCATCACTCTATGATCCAAGAAAGACTTTTTTTTCTAAATGGGGCACTTCCAGTGTAGGTTGATATCTATGGTAGCTGGGCTCAGAGCTCCTTGGTTTGTTGAACCAGGACTCCAGGGAGTCTTTCTGGCCAGGGTTGCCTCTCCCCATTCCCCAGTTCTAGTTCTGGGCCTGAAGCCAAGGACCGTGCATGAGACCTAGGAGAGGCAGTCAGGGAAGGGATGAAGGAGTCTCTACTTGCTGTCAACTGGGCCGTGTGCAGGAGAACATGGAGTGTAGGAGTAAGACATTCAGGCCCGCAGCTGCTCACTGCAGCACCTCATGGAAGCCGGAAGTGCAACACCTTGTGCACATGACCCTGAAACCCCTAGGAACCCCACAAATCAAATCTGTCTCTTTGAGGAAGGAATGTGACAGTGGCAAGCTAGGACAATGCAAAAACTATTGTCACATCTCCTTCCACTGGACTTCACTAGCTCAGTGACATGGGTAGCCTGGTCACTCATTCCACAGTGGAACCCAGCAGGCTCTGCAAATCAAGCTTTCGTTATGCTAGTGGTGTAGTCAAAGAAACAGCTGAGGTGGCAGGGAAGGGAGAGGGGAAGAGGGAGGAGGCAGGCTTATTCCAAGAAGCTGGCTCAGGAGAGCTTGTCATGTGGCTTGTTTTGAACTCTGCCCTCCCGTGACACGACCTGTGCAATCTTGATATCAGATCATCTGTGTTTACATGTGAGAGACCTTGAAAAGATGGGGCCTATTAGCATTCATTCCCTTGAAGACAGAGGCAGAGCTTCCCCTGTGATTACAGGAACCACTTTGCACCATCTCCCCGAGCTTCCCATGGTCCTGGGAAGTACTAGAGTTTATGTACGAGGTGGACGCTAACAGCAGATTCTAGTGATTCAGCTTTTTCAGAGGTCCCATGCTGACTCAGGACTTTTCTGTAATGTTTCTGCCTTTGAGTCACCCTTACGGATGTAACCCCTGCACCTATGTGCCTAGTAGGAACCCCAAGCTCATTAGTTTACAAGCTGGACTTGAATGGAATAGTTTGGTCTGTTGATGTCCTACTGTAGCAAACTACAGTTTCTTTGAATCTCTTCAGGAAAAAAGAAAAAAAAAAAACAGTTTCTTGATCAAAAGAGAACAGACTGTCAGCCCAGGGAGAACTGAGGCTCCTATTCTAATACAAAGTCAGGACAAGATGGCAGGTGTCCTGCTCCAGTCACCAGGCAAGAGTGCCCTCCTCCACTCAAGGCTTCTGCTGACTGGCCAAGACACAACCACCCACATAAAGTAAGAAGCTTGTCAACCTCATATTGCAAGTGACCAAGTAAAGCTTATTTCAATGCCTGGGTACCACGTGACACAGACAAGTTGACGAAGATAGTTAACTACCACATCCTGCTTTGTTCTGAGAGCCAGCTTAACCATTTCTTGACACATCATGCTTCAAAACACACTCCTGAATGCAAGGTCAGCAGGAAAAGTGGCCCCACATCCTAGGCCCAGGACAGTCACCTCTCAGGGGTCTGCTCTGCATCCCTGGAAGCCCCCAGCACTCAACAACCCATCTATCCTGTTTGGTTAGATCCCCTTCCTCTGGCTGAATCTGGGGGTAGGGGTGTTCTAGGAAGAGAGTGGGTCAGCAGGGCCTGAGGTACAGGTAAATGGAAGAGGAGGACCTCCCAGAAGCAAGCCGCATACAGCACCTTCAGAGTTGACTACACCAGGGTCTGAAGTGGGAGCTGGGCTAGCTTAGGTTTGGATGGTTATTAAGCAGCTCACGATGATGAGCACCGAAGATCCAAACTCCAAATGAAGGATGAAAGGGGCTCTAGGCATGGCGCATGCCGACAGTCCGGGCTACTCAGGATACTGAAGAGAACAGTCACTCAAGTGCATGAGTCTGAGGCCACCCTGATCAACATAACAAGTCTGTTTTGAAGCAGAAACAAACAAACAACAGTCGTCTTGAGGCTAAGGATATGGTTTAGTGGTGGTGTCTTAGGGTTTCAACGGCTGGGATGAAACACCATGGCCAAAAGCAACTTGGGTCCATTTTATTCACACTTCCGTATAACAGTTCGTCATTGAAAACAGTGAGAGCAGGATTTCATGAAGCAGGAGCTGATGTAAAGGCCATGGTGGAGGGTGGAGCCTGACTTTGGGGGCGGAGGGTGGAGCCTGACTTTGGGGGCAGAGGGTGGGGCCTGACTTTGGGGGGAGAGTCAAGACAAAGTGAGTTGGTTTGAATAGGAATGGCCCCCGTAGAGTTACGTATGTGAATGCTTGGCCCATAGGAGGTGGCAATGTTAGGAGGTGTGGCATTGTTGAAGCGTGTCTTGAGTTCTCTTCCTGCCACCCTCGGCTCCTTCTCCAGCACCGTGTCTTCCTGCACACTGCCATGCTTCCCACCATGGGGATAGTCTATAACTGTAAGCCAGCCCCAATGAAATGTGTTCCTTCATGAGCTGCAGTACTCGTGGTGTCTCTGCACAGCAATAAAACCACAACTAAGACACAGGGTTTCTCTGTGTGGCCCTGGCTGTCCTAGAACTTGCTCTGAATAACAGGCTGGCCTAGAACTCACAGAGATCCACCTGTGTCTAACACCCAAGTCCTGAGATCAAATCATGTGCCACCAGGCCAGGTTTCAAGCCTGCTTTCTTATGAAACGCAAGACTACCAGAGGTGGCACCATCCACAATGGGCTGGACCCTTCCACATCACTAAGAAGATGCTTACATGCTTGGCTACAGCACGATCTTATGGACCCATTTTCTCAGTTGAGGTTCCCTCCTCTCAAATGATTCTAGCACATGTCAAGTTGAAGCAAAAACTAGCCAGAAAGGGAGAACATTGACTTTGCATGTACAAGGCCGTAGATTTCAGCCCCACTGATGCTGTGAACCTCTAAAGGAAGCAGTGTAGAGCATTCAACATGATAGACCCATCATCCTCAGTTGGTAAGAAAAAAGAAAAGGTGCCCGGGCATCCTCAGTGAGTACGCTCCAGTCTGAACTTGAGTTTGTCATACTGGTCACACCCAGCTCTACAGAAGCACTGCCAGGGCCCACCTGTCCCTGCGCATTAGCTGGTCACCAGGATTTAGACCAGGACTGCTTTCGTCTGAACCTCACTCATTGTGTCAGGGATGGTCCACATTGTGGGGTCTGACAGCACGGCTTGGCAGGGGCACTCTCTGCCTGCTCAGGACTTCCCACAACCTGGTAGGATCCTACACCTGAGTGATGAGAATTGCTGAGCAGTTAGAGAGGTGCTAGAACCTGACGTAACTTTTGTTGAGACGTGTGTGTGTGTGTGTGTGTGTGTGTGTGTGTCCGACATTCATTCCACCCAGGTCCTCCTTTAGGGCAAGTCCAGCATGTGCTCAACATGGAGTTGAGTGGGCAGAGCCAGGAGCCAGCCTCGTGGTCACCTCCACACCATCCCTCTCCATAGGTTGCTGGAGGCCTCAGCAGGGCTGAGGTTACAAACCTTGGCTCTCAGTGTTCACTCAAGGCCCTGTTTAGGTAGAAACCAAAAGGCATAGGAAGCCTCCAACCTGCTTCACAACCCAAAGGAAGCTTTTACAATCAGACAGGTGCAACTATTGTCAGGAAGTAGAAAGTGCTCTCCAAACTGAGGTATCCAAACCAGACTAGATGACCCATGGATGTCAGAAAAAAAGTAGATTTACCAGTGTTCATCTTGGCATGTCTTTCCTTCCAAGCCAACCCCAACCCTGAGCTAAGGACTTGCATACTAGAAGATTAAAAAAAACACCACAAAGGACATGGCTGGGGGTGAGTACTTGGCAGCTTGAGAGTCACATGCAGCAGAAAACAAAAATCTGAAAAAAAAAAAAGTCAGTTCTGCAGAGCAACAAGAGGCTGAGGATTTTTATATACCAGTTTCCACCCAAGAGGGCAGCTCCTACAGGGTGTGTTGCCGTCCCTGGGACTTCTGTCCTCCATGGGCATGTAAAGCCTACCGTGGCAGTCAGACAAGCCTATCCCACCAGGTGAAAATCCTACAGCACATGTGACTTTCAATACACACACAAGCTCACCAGTTATCTCCAGGGCAAAGTATTTAAATGAACTTCACAGGTTTCTCGCCTACAAAGGCAAAGATTCCAAATCTGTCCACCATTTCTATGGTGACAGTGATTGTCAGTAATACAATAGTTGACAAAAATATTTTTTAAATGTACTTATTATATAAGGTAAACAGTCTTTTTAAAGTTTTACTGTAGTCATTTTTTTAACTTTTAAAAAAGATCTATCTTTTATTTTATATGAACCCAAGGGTCCACATAAAAGCTAAATGATTTGATATGTAGCTCTAACCCCAAGAGGCTAGCTATTATAACCCTTAGCTGTTTCAGATGGTATTTTAGGTTTCCCATTTGCGATGGTGTGTTCCTAGGCTATACAAAGCTCATTGGATAGACTGACCTTATTTCATGATACTTTGCTAAGTTGACTGCTGGGCCAATTTGAAGGGTCTGTGGGTCAGTTTTTACATAGAGGATTTTGTTATCTATTTTGTTATTCATTTCTTCCACAATCATGACTTGGACCCAAGTGAAGAAGCAACTGGTAAAACCTGCTCTGAAAACGTGTCTGAAATTGCTTTATTACATAAGTTCTGTGGCTGAATCTGTCGGGTCTCCACATCCTCTTCTCTGGGGACAGCTGGCTCCCCCCACCACACTCAACTGTCATCGATGCAGTGAGGGGAACATCACAGGATGTCGTCACTCACCCCCATGGACCCACCTCTGGCTACACTGGTGACCCACAATGCTAAAGTGGGGTGCAGACGCTGTTTCAATGGCTGGACACCGGAAGTCAGCAGTCTCCTCCCAAAGTGAGGTTCTGTTGATCTTCCAGAGCATCATTGTGTGGAAATGGGGTTTTCCTACCAGGCTGCTACATAACAAATGTTCCTCTCTCACCTCATTCTGGGGCAACAATGAGTTAGGTACCCATGCTCGGGATTTACAGTGCAAGGGGTTGCAGGGAGTCACCCACAGTCCCAAATTTACATCACCAGCTGACTGGAATGCTTAGGACAATGGATCTCTTATAACAAAAGATACCTGGCCCCCCTGCTGTCCCAGCAGACACTGTGACTTTTGACCACAGGGCTACAGCAAAGATGACCCATCCACCTTCTCCCCTCTCCCAGGCATTCTCCAAGACCCCTGCTTCCTTTCCCGCCCACCCATCCCAAGATTTCTCTTCCGGCCTTGGGCTCTCTGGTTGCATCAGGCTGTTCTTCCTGAGTGGCTTTAAGGAGTAGGATCGGAATTGTAGTCCACAGTTGGAGAGCACTTGCCCTTCGTAAAAGGTGTAATCCGTTCCCTGTAAAATGAGAGAAAGAAAAAAAATGGGCACAATCTCTTGCAAGGAAGTGAGTTCCCCATCTATGACTTCCAGATTTTTTACAACAAAGGGTCCTTTCTAGGGGAGAGTTCTCTGTTTTATGCCTATTTTATCATAGCCAGAATGTCTTATAGGAGGTCTGAGGAAAAACCGCAAGAAGGGTAGCTAAATTACCCAGAATCGGTGAGGTCCAGCTTCAGCAAGAAACCCTGCCTTAATAAATAAAGCAGAAAGTGATTGCTCAGGGGCAGAGTGCTTGTCTAGCATATAGAAGACACGGGTTCTATCCCCAGTACAACCAACAAAGTATGGAAACAAACCCAGGACATGGATCAAATAAAGCCTCACACGTCGCTGGTGCAAATACAAACAACTCACCATCATCGAATACTCTGAGTGTTTCTTAGACCACTGTGTGTTCATTTTACCAAATGACTTAAATATCCTGTTCTGGGATAGTTGCCAGAAAGAAATGGAAATGTGGCTATCTAGAGGGTGCTACATAGCTCTTTATGGCAGCTGAGATATGAACAAAGGCAGCCCATGCACTCTCTGATACATTTTGGCATCAAAGGAACAAGCCACATGGGCAGCCTCAAGAACCCCTGCCACATGGGCAGCCTCAAGAACCCCTGCCACATGGGCAGCCTCAAGAACCCCTGCCACATGGGCAGCCTCAAGAACCCCTGCCACATGCGCAGCCTCAAGAACACTGGGAAAGATATGTCTGTGCATGGTTGATGCCGTTTGGGAATGGCGGACATGTTTGTCACCAGCATGGGCACAGTGCATTGACACAGTGCATTGACACAGGTGGGATGAAGAAACTTTCTTGCTTGTGGTTTCATGACTGCATGCATTCTGTCAAACTCAGAAGCTGGAGCTAGGGAGATGGCTCAGTTAGCAAAGTGTCTGCTATGCATACATGATAACTTGGGTTTGCTCTGCAGTACCCACATGAGAAGGTAGGCATGTAGCATGCACTGTGATCCCAGCACTGGGGAGGTGGAGACAAGCAGATCTCTGGTGCTTGCTGGTCAGTCAGCCTAGCCTAGTGGGTGAGCTCCAGACCAATGACAGATCCCATCGTCCAAATAAGGTAGACAGTATTCCTGAGACACCTCAGCTTGCTCTCTAACTTCTACATGCATCAATACATTTGAATGTCCAGGACCCAGAGGATGGCTTAGTGGTTGAAAACACACGGTGCCTGAAGAGGATGCCAGTTCAGTTTCTAGCACCCGCATCAAGCAGCTCACAAATACCTTTAACTCCAGCGCCACGGATCAAACGCCCTCTTCTGGCCTCTGTAGGCACTGCACTCACACACACACACACAAACACACACACACACACACACACACACACACAAACACTCAGGCACATATATACATAATTCAGGCCTGAGAAAGAATGACTTTATGTAGGTAGATTATACTATTCTAAATCTTACTTTTAAGGCTGGATGTGATGACACAGATCTTTATTCCTAGCATTCAGAAAGCAGAGGCAGGTGGATTTCTGTGAGTTACAGGCCAGCCTGCTCTACATAGTGAGTTTCAGGTTAGTCAAGGCTACCTGATGATACCTTGCCTCGGAAAAAAAAAGTAAATAAAAAATAGAAATAAATGAAGCTGACTTTTATGAAAACCTGTGGCTTCTAACAGAACCAAGTCCAAGATCTCAGCTTGATGTCCAAGGCCTTTAGTGACTGGCTGAACCACCCCTGCCCTGATCTCGCTGATACTCACACGCTCTGTACATCATTCCCAGTGATGCTCTCTGAGTTCACATTAGGCTGAAGGCCAGGGAGGGGCTTCCTAGAGTATCTCTTTCTGACCCCAAACACCCCAGTCTTTCAGCAAACAGAATATACAAAAGTCCAGGAAGTGTAGGAAAGTGAGTAGAGGGGGTGGGGATAGGGAGTGGGGTGGAAGTGGGCAGGGTAAGAACAAGAAGATGCTAGGTCCTTTCTCAGCCTTCCTGAGTCCAAAGAACTGTCCATCCTGGTCTCTCTTTCAGGAACTCTGGGGATAGATAGAGGGACAGATTCTGTCCAGAGAGACGGAGAGGTTCTAAGTGCTACCTGCCTCCTCCAGATCTCATGCTTTCTTGCAATTGTGGGGAGTAGGGTATATCCTCCAAAAGCTAGAGGCACTGACCTGCTGTTTTCTCTGCTACACTGTCCCAGGAGCCAGGCCAGTGTCTGCACAGAGTGGGGGCTCAGTGAATTTTTGAGGAAGGCAGGTATCAACACCGCATGCTAACAGTGACTTTGGAATTCATGCTTTCTTAAAACTTCAATACTCTCAACTGAGAAACACTGGACTTAATGCCTAGTTATCTCACAGAGAACGTACTGTGGTGGTTAATTTTATCAACTTAGCATGCTTTAGAATCAGGTGGGAAGAGAACTTCTGGGATGCCTGTGAGGGTATCCCCAGAAATGTTTAACCCATCTTCTGACCCATTCTGGATGTGGGCAGTAGCTCATTAGCTGGGGTGCAGGACTGAACACAACAGAGAAAGTAAACTGAGCTCTAGTGTCTTAGGGATTTATTGCTGTGAAGAGACACCATGACCCAGGCAAGTCTTACAAAGGAAAACATTTCCCTGGGACTGGCTTACAGTTTCAGAGGTTCAGTCTGGTACCATCACAGTGGGATCAATGGCAGTGTGCAGGCAGACGTGGTGCTGGAGGGGCCAAGAGCTCTAGATCTTGATCCACAGCAGCAGAAAGAGACTGGATTTCACACTGAGCATAGCTTGACCATAGAAGGCCTTAAAGCCCACCCACACAGTGACACACTTCCTCCAACAAGGACACATCCATTCCAACAATGCCACACTTCCTAATAGTGCCACTCCCTACGGCCAAGCGTTTGAACACATGAGTCTATGGAGTCCTATTCAAACCATTACAACTAGCTTTCTTCTCTCTCTGCTTCCTGAGTGGGGACACAATGTGACCAGGGGTTTCACACTCCTGCTGCCACGGAAGAGCTGATTCCACTGCCATTGATGGACCATGCCCACCAACTCAGAGCCACAATAAACCCTTTCTCCTCAAGTTAGTTTGGTCAGGAATTTTCTTACAGCAATGAGAAAAGTAACTATATAAAAATATATAAATTTTAAAACTCTGTGTATACTGTAAACATACTTCAAGTATATAAGAATTTACTATTACTTTGAGCACTGAATATTTATGGTCCCGATGTAAAGTTTTTAGATAAAGAATGCATTTTTAACTGAAAGGCTGAAAGGACAGTGCGTGGGGTAGTGTTCTGGCAGAAAGATGATTAAGAGGAGCAGAAGAGAAGGCTCAGGGGTTAAAAACATATACAGTTCTTGCAGAGGACTTGAGTTTAGCCTCCAGCACCCACATCCACTGGCTCACAACCACTTGTAACTACAGCTCCAGGAGATCTGCCGCCCTCTTCTGGCCTCTCTGAGCATTGCACCCATGTGTGCATACCCACATACAAATACATACCCACATACAAATACACAAACACACATAATTTAAATCTTTTATAAAGATGTCTAACAGAGTGGAAGATAGAAGATATAATTAAGCATTAAGACATTAGTAATGTGATAATTATGTATAATACATAATTTTGTATATAAAAGAGAGTGCAGATATATGAATGCCGTGTTGTTGGTCGAAGGGCAACTTTCTGAAGTTGGTTGTCTAATTCCCCCATGAGAACTCTAGGGATTGAAACCAGGTCATCAGGATTGGCAACAAGTGCTTTTATCCCATGAGCCATCTGGTTAGGCCATAGTAACAAAGTCTAAATGAATCATGGGTGTAGAGCCCTGTGTCACCTTTTCTACGCGTTCAGTTTTGCTCATAATAAAACATCGTGGAAAAAAAGAAAAAGTGTAAATTTTTGCCAAGTAGATCCAGAAGCTTCTCAAGTGTTCCTTTCATGGTGTTACTTGGTCGCTGGCCCATTTCATTAATGAACATGTAGGCTCATCATTTGACAAGTGTTGGTGAGCTCCTCCTCTGTATGTCAGCAAGACACTGGAGCAGGGGAACAGAGACACTCTGTCTAGCTTCACTGTGGCCATGTGAGGAAGCCACAGTACCACAGGGAAGCATGTGCCACCCTGCAGTGTGCAAGAGGCTAAGAATAAAGAGACCCTGTGTGGAAACCAGGGAAGCTTTTGTATTTCAGCAGAGCAGTGACTGATGACACATAGGAGTTTCCCAGGTAAACACCAGAACAACCATGTACAGTCAGTATCACTAGGACGAGGCCAGTAAGGGAGCTGCCAGGCTGGCACTGGTCCACAGGGCCAGAGAGTGGGCCAGCTAGAGTTTCTGCTTTATTTTTGTCTTTGAGTCAGTGCCTTACTATGCAGCCTTGGAGGGCCTGGGGCTCGGCACATAGACCAGGTTGGTCTCAAATTTAGAGATACACCTTCCCACCATCACACCCAAACAGAATTTTAAAAATTCCAGTTAGGGCTGGGTGGGACAACACATGCCTTTAATCCCAGCACCTGAGGCAGAGGTGGGTATCTCTGTGAATTTGGGGTCAGCCCTGGTCTACATAGTTAGTTTCAAACCAGTTAAGGCTAAATAGAAAGATTCTGTCTTGAAAACAGAAAGGTTGCAGAGTATCCACCAGACAAGGCTACTCAGTCACGGGTTCAAGCCAAGCCACTGACTACACTGGGTGTTCAGTATCCAAGTACAGACTTGTAGTTTTAAGCACAAAACCCCCATGTTGTATTGACATACCTCAGTTAGCAAGGACAGTTATCCAGAAGTGGAACTACAGAAACCAAAAAGCAAAACAAGTACATTTGGGGGCTTTCCCAGAACTACAGACTTTGACAGTGTAGGTCTTTATTCTCAGTTCGCAGGTGGTACTGCCTACATGCTGGGTTCCAAGGCCTGTTGGTATTTCCATCATGGGGTCAGTTATACTAAGGTCTGGGGATATGTAACAAAATAAAAT